ACGATGGCTCGGTTTTTGGGATTGAGGCCCGTGTTCATAGAAAACCCTACACTTGAGTGGGATGAACAAAACCTTGTTTGGTTTGCTTTTATTTAGTTCTGCAATACAACCTCATGGTATAAAACATGACACCAGACAAAAGATTGGGACCAAATTACCCCTAAAAAGAGCTACAATCAATGAAAACCCAAAGAAACTTGAGCAGGGACTAGCTGTGAAATTTGGCTAAGCTTAATGCAGTCAATAGGCAGCTGCTTGTAAGGGCAGTGTGTCAAGATACAACAAAATCCCACAAAAAGTAGGGTATGGGGAGTCAGTGTGTGTCAAGATATAATCAGAAAAAATCACCCATAGTATTCAAACACATGAATCATAAATCATGTTGGATTTCAAGAGTTCCAAGAAACTAGACATTTCTCAATTTGATAGAATCCCATTCTCAAAAAAGAAAAAGGACCCAACCACACATCTACCATGTTACATAAAAAAGTTACCGTCTTTTTTTAAAAAAATCTAGGATTAGCTCTAAACTTTCAATCAAAGCCAATGAACTGTAAAAAGAAGAAAGAATTTTAAACAAAAAACAAAGAGCATATCATTAAAAACAATTCACTTGCCTTACTCTCTACTCTTCCATTGTGAGACCATATCAAAAGGAGGATGATGTTCTTCCTCATTGGAGTCCGAAGAGCTTGCGAATTTCCCCTTCTCCCACCACAACCAAATCTTCGATGTTGAATAGCTATCGTTTCTTGCACCAATACCTATCCTTTTCCCATTCCCTTCAACATCTCTTGATTTCGTGTTTCTCTGACCGGTCAATGCCACCCGAAGGTTAGCATTACCAACCACATATTGATATGACCCCATTGAATAACACCTTCTAGCATCCAAATTACTACTACTAGTCTCTCCTTCCCATTGAACTCCCAAATCATCATTCACTTTAGTGAACTTGCCAAGTCTAACCGGAAAACTTCCCTCCTTTTCTACTGTGATCTCATTCAAATCGATTGTTTTCTGAGAAACTGAAACCCCGGTATCCCCGTCGTCTTCTCCAACTCCATCACAATCGAACATCGGGTTGTCTATGGAATACCCACCGCTGAAAAGGGCTCCTCTGCAAAGAGGGCAAGTAGAGTTGGATAATAGCCAAGTATCAATGCAATTAATGTGGAAAGCATGGCCGCAAGATGGGAGCAATCTGAGTTTATCCTTCTCCAAGAACTCACTCAAACAAACTGCACAATCAAAAGGCTCTTTGGGACCTACAACCTGTTTGTACATGAAGACGGGAAGAGCATCAATGAAGGCTTGATCCAGACCAGAGTCATGTAGATGGAAGAGCTGCTGCAACTGTCTCTGTAAGGCATCAGAAGGGCTAGAAGCTTCGGGGTTCGGTTCGAATTCGAGAGACGAGGAAGAAGAAGGTTTCTTGACTAGAAATCTAACAAGCAAGTGCAGGAGACCAGATATGAAAAAAAGCACAGCCAAAATCACTATGACGAAAAGGACTGCTGGACTAATCTTGCTGCCGCCAGAAGGGCTTGTTTGGCTCTGGAAATTTCCAGAAGGAAGAGGAGGAGGGTATGTCAAGAACCCATCTTTCTTGTACTGAACCCAAGAATTCTTCAAATGGGCATTCCCAGAAACCATCTTGGCTCATTCCAAGAACCCAAATCTTAAAAAATCCCTAATTGTATTAACCGACACAGAAATCACTGAATCGCAAAACTCTTGCTTCATTCAAAGAACAGAGAAATCTATGAAGAAAACATCCGGGTGCATGAAAAGAAAACAAAAAAGGTCTGATTTTTACCTCAATGGACACCCGTAAGAGACCGGATAAATGTCTGGACTATATATCAGATTAGGGAAAGAAGATGGGAAATTTGAATTTCCAAACCCTCTCTTGTTTTTGGTGAAAAGGCTCAAACGGTGAGAACATATACAGACATGAACTCCTATGAGAGAGAGAGAGGGCGAGGGTGTTCAGAGTTGGAGGAGGAAGAAAGTGCCAAAAAGGGCAGGTGCTGACAGTCGTCGTCGCTGGTTCCAAAAGAAACAGCAAACAATTCCAAAAAGAAAAACAATGCCTCAGACTCAAAGAGAAAGGTAAATTGGACCTAACTATATTTGTTCCTCTTAATAAATCATTTAAGTTCTCTTTAGTATATGGAATGGATGGAATTTGAATTGAATTGAATTGAAATTTTAATTTCATGGAATTCAATTTCATAGAATTAATTTCACCAATTCCAAATCATTTTTACACTCTCAATTCCAAATTCACATAATTTTTGTGCTACCAAACACCTAAATTGGAATTGAAATTCTCAATTCTAATTCTATAGTTTGAATTCCGTATGCCAAACGAGGCCTTAGACTTTATAAAAAGTAAAAAACAAAAACTATATAAGAGAGAGATCACGCATCTAGTTAAATGTAAAGACGTGTATGTTTGTGACCCTAACATTAACATCTAAAACGTTGACTTTCTGAGAGATTTTATATATACTCATGATTAAATCTCTTTTTTACAACCTCAATATAAAAAATTATTAAAAAATACTATGGTGTCATCACATGGATGCTATCTCAGGGATGATTGTCATTTGTGTTATTTATGTACATGAGTGCATCCATGGTAGCACTCATGTGGTGGTACCTTAGCATGACCCAAAATTATTTTATGTATTGAAGTTTATAAAAGGAGTATGAATTCAGGGATAACAAAAGAATTTGCCAAATGTTAATTGTGTTTACGGGGTAAGGAGAATTTTTGAATATCAGTTTTAACAGCATTATCCTATTTTATTTTTTTAATATTAATATTAATCTCCTAATTTCTTCTTCGTTTTACGGAGTATCTGAAAATATCTACTTAAATAGAAATAAAATATTAAACCTTACCAAAATAAGATCTCCTACTTTAATTCCTTGAATATGAGTGCCGACACCGTACAATGCTCCCAAAGTACAAGTTTTACGAAAATATTTCCAGAATTGATAATTAACATCATTGCTCCAATTTTGTTTATATTTTCACATTGTTACACCCATTTGCCTGGTCAGCTCCTACGTGGAAAAAAGGTTGAATTGTATTTTGAATACTCTTTTTTCATTCTAATTCTATTAAAAATAAATTAAAAATAATTTATAAGAAATTATGATCATCTTGTAAACACAAAGTAACATGCAATCCTACTAACATATGGAGTAGTTCTCCATTGGAAAAAAAAGATGACGGTGGGCGTTACACAGTTGGCAAGGCAAGTGGTATCAAGGAAGTTAGGCCCAAGTTCGATTCTCGGCAACTGCGTTGGAAGACAATTATGCTAAGCATAGGCCTCTGCAAATATCAGGTACATGCTCCATTTTTTGCCGTGATTAAAATATAATTTACCACTTTTCAGTGACCGTCCGACAGAATCTGAGGAAGCCTTCGGGGATAGGGCTCATCTTTTTTTATTGGAAAAAAAGATATAGAGGGATTGAAGAGTACGTGTGATGAGAAGCGCGTGCGGGGTGGGCCGCATCGAGGGAATGATCTGGATTTGTGGGAGACTGGGAGATACTAGAAGCCCACCAGATAGGCCCAATAGAGATGGCGAATTGATTGCGGCAATTTTCTTAATAGGAAAATGACAACATTAGCTGCATAAGGAAACGTCAGCTGTACAAAGAAAATCATTAACTAAATTTAAGGACGTTTTAGGTGTCGGCCATAATTACCCCATAAATGAATGAAAGTTGTCACTAATTGAATGCCATTCCATTGATTTTTTTGTACTTGTGTATTTAAAATTTAAATAAACTACTCATAGTATGAAAATTCTTCTATATATAACTTTGGAAATGAACATGTCAATGTGTCATTTATAACATCTTTTTTATCATGCATTTGTTTTCACTCGCGAAACAATATAAAATTGACCGTAAAAGAAAACAGCTAGGCAAAAAATAATTCAATAAATAAGAATCTTTGGTCTTCACTTTAATTAATCGTAATAACAAAACACTAGAAGGAATTGTCTTCTATGCAACTTCAAGGGCAATTCAGGATTAGATTACTACAAATATAAATTAAATATAACACCAACACTTTCTTTTCTCAAAACTCTCGGTAAAACTAAAAAAGTCTAGCAAGAGTTACATCTGAATATAAGTATATTTCCTTCGAACAATTCATTTACGGAGTTATTATAAAAGAATCGCTTGATGTCACTCATTTACGAAATTATTATAAAAGAATTGCTTAAGCTCTTGGTTGAATTAGTTCCTTAACATAATACCAGCCTTTTTGACTATAGGTCACGAGTTCAAAACTCAACGCCACCCAATTTAAAAAAAATTAGATTTCACATGCAAGATTCAAAAGAAATTGTGTCTATGCGTGAGGGATGTGTTAAAATATACTACCTCCGTCTCATTTTATAACGCCTGTTTCGGTTTACGATGTTTGACTGAAATTATTTTTAAATCATTTTATATAACAAATGGTATAGAATTAAAAAATAAAAATTACATATTAAAAAACTACATCAAAAGATCTACAAAACTAGTAGTGACAATAATATTTTATTTTATCAAATTGCTAACGAAAATAGAGAAAGAAAGTGAATAAAATTTGACCATGTGAATAGTAAACAGACATTATAATTTAGAACGGAGGGAGTAAAAAACATTTCCAAAGCTACCACCATAATATTGAACTTTTGGTTGAATTGGTTCTTTGACAGAAAATATATGTGAGAAGACATACAACATATGAAAAGTTTTATCTATTTTATTCAAGAATATTTAAAATAGAAAGTATGATTAAAAAAGTGGATACTCAAATTTAAAAGTGCATACAAAAAAATTTAAAAGTTCATTTAAAAAATTATTCATCATCGAGATTAAATATAAAATTAGATCATAAAAATAAAAGTGCATAAATTAAAACATGTCATTGATTTCAAGCAAAAAAAAGAAAAAAAAAAGAGGAGAAAGAGACGAGAAGAAGGGTGTCACACCTATCACAGTCATAGGTGAGAGGGCGGCATTCACCATCCATGCGTCCTACGTGGCCATCACGGGATCCCACACCCTTTGATCTTAGTATCACGCATGAACCCGTGACTAAACTATAGCATGACCCATCTTGATTCACTCAAGAGTACTTTTGGACATCCAAAACTTGAAAAACTAACCCAAACTGCCCAGAGAGCCGTCAGGAGGTTCTTGGAAAAGGTTCACAAAGTTCAACAGACCTTGATTCAAGAAATCTTATGTACATTCAAAAGGGTCGCATATATAAGCAGCCAAGTCTTGAGATAAAAGACAAATCATGGTCCCTAAAAGCATTTGGAAGGATGATTTGTGTGTTTTCGATGATGAAGCAAACAACACTTGAGTTTAACAGACCAAAAGAGAATCAGATAACGTTGGTCCAACTCTGAGTGGCATCAGGCGTTTTTAGTCTGCGGTCCAGCTTTGCTCCACAATCTCGCGCACCTTCCTATTGTATTCGCGCTTGTTCTCGCTGAAAAGGCGTGCAGCTTCGGAGTTAGCAGGTGAGTTGGGATTTGGGTCACAGAGCAATGACTGCAATTCACAAAATCATTAAACAGCTTATTTAGATTCCCAACTTGGTTGATAAGGTAATCACAAATTATATGCCTAGGATAACAAATTAACTGAGGAAATACTTAGATTCCCGACTTCAAAATAGGAGAATGCATTTCTAGTTTGGTTTGGTACTTTTTTAATGGGTCTTGGAATGGGTTTGATTAAAAAGAGTTGAGGAAATGATTCCTGAATTAAAACCAACTTAGACAGGTTAGATTTGTTTTGGATTTGCGTTAGAAATTTTACAATAGCATAAGACCAACTTTATTACTACGGATAAGAATGTTGGCAATGAAGGATTTGAAGGGAAAACTGTAGCATTTTGGCAAAATGTAAGGGGCTGGGTACAGGCAAAAGGGGCACTGGGAGTTAGGATTGTGGTTTGGGGGGTTAGAGAGGTAAGACCCGGTCCAAGGCCCAATGAAGAAGGGTGGGACCCTGGTGTCATCATATTACAGCCAAAATGGGTAAGAACCGTGAGAGAATAAATTTGGTGTAAGACTAAAGATAGAATATAGCAATATGCAACGGTTGAAAAAAAGTTACCAGCAGTCACTATAAAAGATAAAGAAAAGAACATATTGCATTCGTTCGGGCATGTAAGCTGTTGTGAAGAGGTTACCCAGTCCACATTGTAGAATCATGAAGTGTAATATTAAAGAGATTCAGAAACACTAAAGATGACTATGATTGACATGCAGAAGTCTTAAAGAGGATTTGAAAACACCAAAGATGACTGTGAATGAAGTTTGAATGTGTAAAGGGAGACATCACAGGGTTCACAGTGCATGATAGGAGGAGTGGGGGGGAGTGTTTTAGTGGACGACCTATGGTAGGTTTTCTACTAGTTTATGCAGCCAACCACATTGAGCTGGGATTAAGGTTGTATAATCTTATTGAGATTTTTATACAGCTCTGTTTGGAACAAAATAATAAATATAGAAAAATACATTACCAAACCAGAACCGACCTACATATGGTTAGCTTTGGGTTGATTCCCTTTATTATACTTGCTTCAAAAAATGTGCAGATAATATATCTTACTTAAGATAAGGAAGCTTCATTTAAAACAAAAAGTTCCCACCTTCCCCCAGAAAAAACATGTTTGAAGAATGTAAACCTTTTTATTTCTAGTAAAGCCGATCATGGTACAAGCTTTAACAAATACATTGAGGAATAGTCACTTATACCACAAACTTTTTTCCAAAAAGTTCAGAGTATTAACTAAACCCTTTCTTCTTGCCTTTACCAAAATCATCTTTTGGAACAAATAAAGTTTTTTTAATTAGGACTTTTTCGAGTACAATTCAAAATAAGAAAATGAAAAAAAAGTATTAACAGTGCAAGCCATTAAGGCATGCAATATGATAACCTGCAAGAAATAATGCCTTGCCTAAAGAGGATTTTATAGAGCACAAATAAGATCGAGCCTCCTTTCAAAATTCAAAATACATCAACATACCTGGATTGAGGTAAGTATTGCTGCAACATCATAAATAGGGCTCCATTGGTTTTGCAGGATATCCAAGCAAATGCTTCCATCAGCATAAACTGAACAAAAATACAATTGTGAAAATAAATCAGAACTCAGAAGCAAAATTTCAGCAAACAAAACATTCCAACTAACATATGTAACATAAACATTTAGATAATTTTTGCATGCTATCTGAAAAGAGAAACAAAAAAAGTAGCTTTTCTTGAGATGTAATCCGTAATAATATACAGTATTAATAGCCAAGGATTGGCTTAAGCTATTTGGTATGCAACATCAAAATCTCGTACACATTAGGTTGACTTTTCAATCAAACGAATGATTTGGACAATTAAAACAACAGATGACTCCAAATACTGTTGTATGACTTTTCAAATGTACTTGAGTCTCTCTGCATATAGCCAAATCTGGCAAGTGGCAACATGAGCCAATTTCTCTTCATAAGCTCATGCTGAGTTACGTTACTACTTACTACTTGAGTCTCTCTGCATTCATCATTTCATCCACAGCTGCTGAACATTTTGACTCGCTGATGAGAATGAAACAATTTGGATCTCAAACTTGCTAATCACAAGTATCACATTTTCATTTCTTGCCATATGTAGTAATACTTCATACTCATTATTTTGTGTTGATTCCAACTAAGAGATTTGTTGTAAACAATCATTCCAAAATCCAAGAAAAAATCACACTCCCTCTACCCTAGAGTGATCTCCTTGCTTAAATTTTTGGGTGCCCCAAATTGGTCTTACAATCCTTTTCTTTTTTTGGATACACTTTTTACTTCTTTTAAATAAATGGGCGCTTTTACACTCAAAACCTACATACAACCTTTTACTTCACTTAAACGAAACCCAAAAAGATAGGCGGGGGCATTTAGATCATTTTCCATCCAGTCTTAGTCTAATATGCCATTTTCAAATGAGAAGATCCATTTGGGACATAGGGAGCATTTAACTTAATGACAATTCCACATCCCTTGCTTGAAATAAAAGGTGCCTTAGAACAATCCAGTTTACAATACATGGTTTTCGACTCATGGTACAAAAGAAACAACTCCGAGAAAAAGATCCCAGCTTCCAAACCTTGTGGCTGCCCAAATTTGTTATCAGGATGGGTAGCAGGGTAGAGACCAGAAAAGAAAAGTTATTGAGATGGGAATGGATTTCTTTTGGGAGAATTCTACAAGTACAGAGATGGGATGTACCCATTACATAAGTTAAATTGCTGAAATTACTTCAATCTTATTTTTTTTGCAGAAGTATGGCACAAAATATGGGGCGTACATTTAAGTGAGAGAGAGAGAGAGAAAGAGAAGTTTAGAAATGACCTTTTATATTCCGCAGGGAAAGCAATTAAGCAACCATATGAAAATGGTTAATATGCAACCATAAAAGTCATTTTAAGTACAGGAGGATAGAAGGTAGCCAAAAGCTAAGCACGTGAAATTGTGAATCAAGCATATGAGTCATCATTCATATCTCTAATACTATCAAAAGGGGATTAGGTTAGTAATATGAATCAGCAACTAAATTTTTCAAAAGGATGGAATCATATCTACATTGCATAACCACTCATCTATAAAATGTTCCATCAACCATGATATTACAATAAAATAGTTATTGAACATATTTCAACTACAACCCACATTTCTACTAAACGAACCATTATAAACTACTCTGATGTAAAACTTAGGAAATCCCATGTCCTGTAGAAACTTACTGTTAGGATGGAACATTCGAGAAATAAATCGCACAGTTGGTGGCTTATTTGGGTAATCCTCTGTGAACTGAAGTGTCAACTTAAACGTACCTGACAGCAAGAAAACAAATCAAAGATAACGGCCACTATATGCAGGGACATGATTAACAAAATGGACGCAACCTGAACTTTGAGATATAAAAAAACATAACAGGATGCCAATCATGTGAATACAATTATTAATTATTTACAAGAAGGATGGCCATTTAAAAATGTTAAATCATATCATACCAAACAAAAATTAGAGTAATGCACCATATAAATCAGCGCGAAACAAACTGGACTACTCTTTTTAGGTTTAACTTTTAGAATGTAACTTAATCTTAGCATTGTACCAAAGACCACTAAGATCAAAGGAACAATTTGATTCTGGAAAGCATAAAAAACTCAAACTTCAAGGTTGGTCATCTTCAAAGAAACACCACAGTGCAAGGCATGTAAATTAATCTCACACAAACCAAAAAAAATACTCAATTCCCTAAATAAACTTCACTTTTACTATTAATATGCCAAACAATATCTTCTTTATTTTTTATATTCTTTAGTCATTTGTTTCAATAAAACTCTCAAGTAACTCTTGTTTTATAGAAATTTTAATGTAGTAGTTTTTAAATATATAAATTTTATTTCTTAATCGCACACCAATATTTAAATAAATTGAATAACTTAACTCAAACATCATATATCAAAATGTGAAGCTTATTAAAGGAACAGAAGGAGTATCAGCACAGATTACTGAAGGCATTGGAATACTACTGCTGCCATTAGGTACACGTTGAGGATGGAACATCACGTCTTATTAGATCATATAGATCATTAGACGAGAGAAGAAAGGGAATGTATATATTGACCTAAGCCAAGAAAAACATGAACAATACAATAGATGCCTCACCTCCATCCCACGGAGTGTCATCCGGACTGCAAATTTACAACAATGAAAGATTAGTAAACACTAGGGAAAAAAAGTTTCCCTTAGCCCTTTACAGAACATTTATATACACAATACACTCATTCAACATCTGATGTCATACCCAAAAATAACAGCATTCCAAAACATTATGTTGTGGTCACATGGGGCACCGCTGATGCCAGCAGGAGGATCCTGTTGCAACCGCTTGAAGTCCCTCATCAACCTTTTCTTGGCCGGTGTTGACATCCTCTCCCTTCTCCAGCTGCAACGTGATGCAATAAACAAAAATGATTGAGTCAAATATACACTTCCATCCGTTTGATACGGCCACTAACAACAATAAGCAATCAAAGACCTTTCCTTTTCATCCACCAAATAAAAGACACAGCTAATCGCGGAACAGAACAAAACCCTAGATCCGTAAAAAGTAGATAAAAGTAATAAAAAGATTCTCTCCAATTCAGATAGGTTTTCAACAAATCCAGTCCAAAAGTACAAAAGTAATCGGCTTGGTGCCGCGCATAACACAGAGAGTTTATAATCAAGATGCGACAAACAGTACAGATCATAAACAACTGGAGAAGAGTAGAATTACAGAAGTAGTTACGATTCACCGAAGATCAAGTAGCGCTGGAATTTCACAGAAACATGCGGAGAAGATCGAAACTTTAGACGATTGGGCGATTGAAGTTTCTCAAGAGCAAGAGCAGAGATTCCGAGATTTGCGTGATAGAGAAGCCGGGTATGAACCAATCAATCAGTTGAGAAATTCCGAGAAAATGAATAAGATGCGCGCCTGTTCCACTGCCACGGGGAGAGTGGATTGGGACGGTCCTGATTGTAGGTTATTCCCCATATATATAAATGCTCCGGAACGGTTCGGATTACAATCTAATCCCAGTTTGTCCCATAAAATTTGGGATCGGAACAAAACGGAATGAATTCGGGGCGTCCTACTTTGTCCTAATCGCAAATATAAGGAAGGGAAGATGGTGACATTTCATTTAAAAAAAAGAAACATCTAGTCATCCAACAAAAAACAATGAGTGGAACGGGTCCAAATAAATTTCAAGCTCATGAATCTAATTTAATTAAATAACTAATTAATTAAAGAATGAGGGTATTTGGATTCTGGACTAGAATTAGTATTATATATTAGTAGAGTAGATGAAACGGGACAAACGGGACGAATCGATATAAATTTAAGCTGTCCCGCTCATGTCCAATTTGATATTGGGACGGAACAGGTTCGGGACAAAAAAATTGTGTCCCAATATATTGGTACAATTACAAAATGGATCCGGGATTTTTCGGGACGGTCCAACGAGAACAGATTTCACGCCCACCCCTAACTGCCACTAGGTGTTTGTCCAGATCGGATCTGACAAGGCAATACCAGGACCATGTGTTATCATCAAATTAAATAAATAAATATATAAATAAATAAATAAATTGAAATTTATATTGAATAAGACTAAACAATAAGTCATTTTTCAAAATAAGACTTGAACTTTTTTATTTATTAAATAGGACTTAATAATGACTAGTGATAAGAATAATGTCCAAATGATGCTGGACATTTATTTGAATAATGATTAAAAAATAATGATCAATGATACTACATTGGGAAATAAAAATATATGATCTTATATAGAGAAAGTCATTATGTTTTAGTCCTATTTAAATAAATTAACTATAAAAAATTACTGCGAGGTACTCCTATTAGGATAAAGACTCGTAAGTCTCATTTTTTTCTAAATATACTTTTAGGGCTTAAAATATGTTGTTTGTGATTGAGGAGATAACTTCCATCCATTGCATCGTTCATGGTTTGATTTGTCCATTATACCTCTCGTTTTTCTTGAAAAAGACAGACAGAGTCCACACCTTTTCTCATTCTTCGATTCATATCAAAGATTTGCTTCCACTTTTGGCATTCTGTCAAGTTTGGCTTCGTTAAACGGTCTCAAAGATACGCGTTGGGGATTGATTTTACTGATGGTTTTGATTTTACTTAACAATATGAACTTGGGTTTTTATTTTCAGTTATTCTACTGAACATGAATAAAGTATTTAGATTGTTATAATTGATTTTGTTTTATCAAATTTGTATTGTTCTATCAAATTCCCGATTGTTTTATAATTTTTCTCATGAGTTTATAAATCTCTATATTTTGCATTTTTTGTTATATACTTTAGGCTCCGACGGGATTTAGCGTGTATGTGAAAGATAAATGCATTGTGATTGAAGATATTGATTTGGAGGATGTCATTTCCAAAGCTAAAGAACAGTATGTTAGTCTTCTTAAATTTCTTGGTTTTAGATATCATTATCTCTAAAAAGAAATTCAGAAAGAGTCACTAGCTTCTGATTGAGATTGGATTAAGATGGTTGAGGTTTGGGGGAAGCTTCTTATGATTAAATTCCCTTATTTGTAATTGAGTTACAAGAGGCTTTTACTCTTACATCCCAAAATGAGATATAATAAAATAATGAGGTAAAATTAAATATTTTTATTTATTTTATTTAAAAATTTATCCATAAATAATATATGAAATTTATATATAGAAATAGTTTTAAAAAATCTACAAACAAGAGTTGACATATGTATTTATTTCATCAAAGTTTAACCAATCGAGAAAACAAACAAGTAGACACTTATCGTGCTTCCAAAATAGTTACTTTATAATTACTTTATAATTCGTTTAGGGACGCAATGAGCATAATACTTCAACGCTTAGAGCATGGGCAGTGGCGTGTCAAAGCCACTGCCACGCATGCCAGCTCAGCATTCTTACTCCTTTTCCATGGCAAAGCATTGCAATTTTCCTTGCAAGTCGTGGCAAGGGCGAGCCACTATTTTCTCTTTTTCTTGTAAAAAAAAGAAGTTTTTTTTATTTTATTGAGATTAGAGGCACTGTTTTACATTTTTAATCCTTTCTTTTTTCTTTACAACTTATTTTCTTTTTCAAAACAATCTAACCATTATTTGAGACTAAAAAATATACATTTTTAAACATTAATGTTTTATGTGAAATTATATAATTTAAATTAAAAATTTTAAAATTTAATTTTCTCTTTGTACAATTAAAAATTTACAAGAAAATGCAATAATTTATAATAAAAAAGCACACATTAGTTAATTAAAATATGTCAAAAATGTTAACATTGCCAAAAAAGAATACAATTTTTTTATTAAAATAAGGTAAGTAAAATAATTTGTGAAATTAAAATATATAAAAAAGGTATAAAAAATGATAAAAATGGTGACTTGCCACTGCAAGACATGTCACTCCACTCATGTACCACACGCTAACTGGACAGATTTTGATTAGCTAAAATACTCCACATCATCATGGGGCATTCCATTTCTTACTTGTCATTGCCCATGCTCTTAGTGCATGACTTACTTGTTCAATAGCGATTCAAATGTATAGATTCAACTCTTGGCAACAAAAACAATTGAGGATAAAATGTCATCGTCTCTAGAAAAATGTAACTTTTTCTATGGGCCGATCAAACTTTTCATTGCTCCTCCGAAGACTGGTCTTGGACCGGTGTATTAACCACCGAATCTATTTTTAAACAACTTTGTCTTGCTTGTTGACAAATTTCTCAACAAGTCACCCTAGCTAAGAGGCATGTATGCTCCAAACGATAATTTTGAATATGATTATATAGCCAAGGCTTTTTTATTTTCAAACTCGAGAAAGAGTTTAAAGGACGGAGAGATGAAATATTATTTAAACTAAAAAATTTCCGAGTTCCCTAAACAGCTGAATGCAACCAATGTGGTACTCATCCCCAAAATAGACTCCCCAAAGAATCCTTCTGAATTTAGGCCAATTGCCTGTTGTAATGTGATTTACAAGGTAATCTCTAAAATTCTATGCTCTAAATTAAGGAAGGTACTTCCTCATATCATCAACCTTAACCAAGGTGCGTTTATTGAAGGAAAAGAGTTGGTACACAATATTTTGTTATGTCATGAATTAGCAAGGGGATATGGCAGGAAGGGGGTCTCTCCGAGGTGTTTAATGAAATTGGACGTGAAAAAGGCTTATGATTCCATCAGCTGGAGAGCTATTAAGGAGATACTAGAATTTATGAAGTTTCCAAATAAGTTTATCGATTGGATTTATTTCTGTATCTCCAGCACATCTTATTCAATTATGTTAAATGGGGAGAATGTTGGGTATTTCAATGGGGGTAAAGGGATCAGGCAAGGTGATCCTCTATCTCCTCTTCTATTCACTATAGTGATGGAGTATTTAACAAGATCCTTGCTGTATTATGTTGAAAAGAGCAATTTTAAATATCATCCAAAGTCCAGGAGTATGAGGTTAATTAATCTGGCATTTGCAGATGATTTGATAGTAGCCTGTAAAGCTGACAGGGGGTCAATCAAGGTTATACTTGAGTGTCTTCAGCATTTTAAAGAAGTCACTGGACTGGAGGTTAATTACTCCAAGTCCCAGATGATATTTGGGGGGATCAGTGACCTGGAGTATGAGGAGATCTTGGGCATGACTAATATGGCTAAAGCTGTATTTCCCTTTAGGTATCTTGGAGGGCCTATCACTGATGGTAGGATAGGTGATAGGGAATGTGAAGCTCTGGTAGCCAAATTAACAGCCAAGATCTCAGTTTGGGCATCAAAGAATTTATCTTATGTAGGGAGGTGCAAATTAATTAATACAGTCTTGTATGGAGTGATATCCTTTTGGTGCAGACTCTTCATTATACCCAATAGAGTGATGCAAAAAATACAAAGCATATGCAGGAACTTTCTTTGGGGTGCCAAAGCCCAGTATACCAAGATACCTCTTGTCAATTGGGATGAAATATGCAAAGTTAAACAAGCAGGAGGATTAGGGTTCAGGGATCTAGTTTCATGGAATCTGGCTTGTAATCACAGGCTACTCTGGGATATAGCTAGTAAAAAAGACATACTATGGGTTAAGTGGATTCATAATAAGTATCTTAAAAAGGATAATATTTGGACTGTACCACCCAAGCCTAATTTCTGTTACTATTTGAAAAAAATCCTGTGGAGGAGGAAAGATTTTGAGGGCATGCCCATTAGAGAGAAATATGATGTTCAAGGGGGATATGAGTGGCTTATGGGAGACAATACTAAGGTCCAATGGAACTGGTTTGTTTGGAATAAGTTCACAATTCCCAAGCATCAATTCATTCAGTGGCTGGGATGGAAAGACAGATTACAAACCAAAACAAGGCTAGCAAGGTATATGAACATTAGTACTCATTGTGTTCTCTGCCTTGTACATATAGAAGACAAAGAGCATCTGTTTTACTCTTGCCCTTATACTAGAGGGATCCAAAATGAAATATGCAATTGGGTTGGGACCAGATGGATAGCTAATAATGACAAAGAGATGTTGGGGGCAATTCAGCAGATCAAAGGTAGGAAGAATAGAGGTATTGCCATTGCAGCTTTTGCTGCAATATGTTATGCAGTGTGGAAGGCAAGAAACAAGAAAATTATGAAA